AGACGATGGCGGCAGTTCAAACTGGAGATCGAAAGGAGGCCGGGGCGGCTGGGTCATGCAGGCAGCGCGGTCGTCTGGCCCGGATGTGTGGACGGTTTCACCACACACCAGACATGCGGACTGTGGCTGCGCGCGCCCGGACGCGGTCGTGCTGGCGGGTTCTTCTCCATGCCACACAAGGCGTGCGGCACAACCACGCGATACACCGCACATGTGACATTTATCCACGTCCCGAACGAAAAGTAATCGATTGACTTGTATGCAAAGTATAGAACCGACCGTTTTACCAGATTATCGGCTCAACGGTTCAACCCCCGAGGCCCCAGCCAAGGTCTCTCCTGATCCGATCCCCTCCAAACTGAACGAGCACCGCTCGACCTGTCCACGTGGCGCCCAGTCGCGCCGGGACTCGAGCCAACTCGACATATCGCCAGCCGCCACGTAGTCTCCTCGATACTCACGCCCGTCACGTTCTTCGACCCAATCCAGCCCCCCACGGCGTCGCTAACTCCGTTAATCCCGCGAAACGATACGTGCACCCGGCCACGTCCACGCAACCCACACGCGGACCCACATGTATCGCGCGAAGGAGGTATGTCTGGGCCCACTGTCGGTGAGCGAGCCGTGTGCCACGGGGTGATAAGAGGGGCGTGCGGGTTGCCCGCTCGGGCCTGGGCAGTTTGGAGTTTCCGGGAGGTGGGGAGGGGAGAGGAGAGGAGGCGTGAGCGCTAGGAAAAGGGGGAGAGAGGGTTGGATTTCGTCTTGAGGTTGCGGGATCGCGAACCCAATTCGTTTCCACCGCCCCGCGCCCGATCGATCCGCGCTGGATTGCTCACTTTCCCCCCTTGATAGGTTCCTTCTGTTGGGGAATTTTCGTTGTTGAGTCGATTTTGTCCGAGGGTTTCCCGTCGGATCGGAGCGGATCGAGTTCGGAGGAGATGCGAATCGAGGAGCTTCCCGGCGATTCCGGTGGCGGGGGTGGAGGCCGAGGGGCGGGGGAGCTGCAGCTGCGTCGGGAGGATGGTGGGGCCGACGGTAGTGAGCTGAAGCTGCGTGGCGAGGATGGCGTTGTCGCCGCGGCGGGGGAGGAGGAGAAGGGAGAGGGTGCGGGTAGGGTGATCGCGCAGGCGGCTTTGGATGCGAAGCGCGCGGCGGTGGGCGTCGGCGCTCGGATGCTGTTCTACCCGACGCTGGTGTACAACGTCGTGAGGAACCAATGCGAGTCTCAGTTCCACTGGTGGGATCAGGTCGACGAGGTTGGGAAATTTCCATCTCTTTTGATCTCTGTTGTTTTGATAGGATTCCCCCTTATGCGTTCATCTTGTGTCGGCTAGGCAAATTCCTGTATACAATGTAGCTTCTAGTGTCTGCTATCCTCGCCGTTTGTTCTGTTCAGGGTCTAGGTCTCTCATGTGCAGAGTGTCGGTTAAGTAGCTATTGATACGTGGTGCTTATGTTTGATTATGTCTTGTATATCTCGCTGGAGGTGCAAATTGTGACCTAGTCAATCTTGAAACTCGCCTCTTAAGGCGACGTCTACTCTGTACTTGGTGTTTCTAAAAATACGTTTGATTTTTATTGTAATTTTGGTGGCCATGATTTATTGTATTTTTTGCTACTTTTGCTGCGGAGTTGTTTTAAGTTGGTTTGGAATCACAGATTGTTCTGTTCTGACTGTTCACATTTTTGGTTGGGTCAGCATGTGCTGCTGGGTGCTGTTCCATTCCCGAGCGATGTTTTGCGGCTGCAGAAGCTTGGAGTTTGTGGTGTGGTCACACTAAACGAATCATATGAGAGGCTTGTTTCCAAGTCATTGTACGAGGTAATTACATTGCCAACATCTAGTATTTGACTGTTCAAGTTCTTAAGTGCATGGATTGTAATGTTAATTTCAGCCTTATTTGTGAATTTCTTGTGTGGACAACAACAGTGTATTTAGCTGTTTGGTGCTCCGATGATAAGGTCTTGGTTGTAAAAGAGAATTGTTTACAGTGGTGAAACGATGCATCCGCTGTTGATGTGGTTAGTCTTCGCAAGATCAGTCGGTATCTAGGACTTTAGTGTGACGACTGCCCTACAGTTAACAAGTGAACTGTTGTTTCTCATCTTGGTGTCCGCCCATCAGATTGAGTTTTTAAGCTATCCTTCACACACCTTTTTGCTGCTGATGGATCAGTGGTTTGGGGCTTGTTTGGCAGATTGTTATTGTGCTATGCCGGTTCTTGTGGCGCATTGAGGAGATACTAGAAGTGCTGCCTTTGCTATACACGGACGGTGGAGTGCCACTGTTATGTTTGAGAGTTTGTGCAACAAAGTTGCTAATTTAGCATTGAAGAGCTGATATGATCTTGATTGATGGTTTTTGTACATTGTAAACATAGTACATCTGTATTAGTTCACACAAATCATGTTAACTTCAAGTATAAGAAAGATTGATTTTGCTTTTTTTTGTTTCTTGTTGGGTTACACAATGTTCAATCAAATAGCAGTGGTCTTCTTCACAATCACTACCTTTCTTATTGTATTTGTGTGAAGCCGCCAATACCATGTGAGTTAATGATCTTCTTCATTTTAGGCTCATGGGATTGAAAACCTGGTGCTACCAACTAGAGATTACCTTTATGCGCCGTCATTTGACAACCTTTGCAAGGCTGCTGACTTCATCCACAGTAAGCACGTATTCAAAATATGTCCTTTATGTTTGAAGGTTCCAGTGTATTATTCGATTGAGATTGTCCTTGTGTGAGCTGATTGCATAGTTTCTGATTTGACACCTTATGCTTGGTTTTGCTTTGTTGTTTGAAGTACACTATAGGTTGTTTTTATTAGTACTCCCTCCGTCCCAAAATTCTTGTCTTAGATTTGTCTAGATACGGATGTACCTAATACTAAAACGTGACTTGATACATCTGTATTTGGACAAATCTAAGACAAGAATTTTGGGACGGAGGGAGTATTTAGAATTGCACCTTGTTCTTTTTCAATTTGTTATGTTCCAGTTGTAGAATAGTTGGTACATGGATTTGCATACTCCAGAAGATCCTATAAGATACGAGAATAGTTGGCACGTGGGTTTGCGTACCCCAGAGGATCCTACTAGATACAAGACCTGTTATAGACCTGGGTTTTAGGCTTGGAAATTCCTGTCATTGAATGTCCAGACCTGAGAGGCCAAATATGTGACTTGATATGAAGTCCAGAAAAGCTCAGAATTTGATTATTTTCAGTAAAAAGTCGTGCTGGGTTGCCACCTGTTTGGTGATACATAAGCCTGTTTTGGTACTCCATTCTTGTTGTAACAATTCAGTGGTTTCTGTTGTGGTGTCCTATCTCATCCTCCTGTTTTTTTTCTTGATTTCTTGATTTGAATTGAGTTTTTTGAGAACATCAATGTCACTTCCTCCATTTCATAATATCTATTCTGTTTGATGTTATCTTCATCTTAATGATGGTGACTTGGTGCATGGGTTTATTCATGTTTATTTTTATTTTTTGAAGGAAATGCTTCATGTGGTAAGCTGACTTATGTTCACTGCAAAGCTGGACGGGGACGCAGCACCACCGTTGTTCTTTGCTACTTGGTATATCAGACTATTGATCCTACTAAATGTTGACTGGCTCATAATCTGAATAAGTTTAAGGTGATGACTCTTTAACTCTTTTCTTGTAGGTGCAATACAAACAAATGACACCTGCTGGAGCTTTTGAACATGTTCGGTCATGCAGGCCAAGGGTGTTATTGGCTTCCGCACAATGGAAAGTATGTTGTTGCAAAAACTCTTTTATGTTCTCAAAGCACACAATAGAAGTATTTTAATGGATTCGTAAGCATTATAGCTGGACCAATGGAAGTTTACCTTAATTGCAATATATGGATCAGCGGGCGCAGGATACTTTCGTCTGTTCCATTCTTTGCCGTACATGATGAATTTTCAAATGGAAATGAAAGGGAGGGGGACTCCACTGTGTGTAGGATATCGTAACTGATAGCATATTGGTCGGTTACCGAGTAGGGATGAATCAGCTTACCAGCCTATTAACCAAATTCATCAGTAATCCATTTATTGGTTTGTTAACTAGGGCCATATCTAATATATCCTAGGCTGGAGCACTTGCTGCAGTAGAAGATGTAGATTAAATGCACCACATCAGTATATACTTCATAGGAGAGCAGCACAGCAGCAGCAACATAACAGTGACGGTGGGGGCTGCATGGGGAGGGGATGGTGTTGGCGGCTGCTAAGGGTGGGGGCAGTGTCTGCTCCTTCATGAGCGGCTAACCTATTGCATGGGCGGCTGTGGGACAAGGGATAGAACAAGCTAAATGTTGGCCAAAATAACCCAGGCAATTATTTGGCTCAGCAAATAATTTGGTCTGGCACTTGTCAGACAGATAAATCGTCCACCCAGTTAATTCGGTGGATATGTGGTTTTCTTATCGGCAGGTGGCCGAGGCAGGATTAACTGTCCGATGTGCCGATTAAAATGGCCTATAATTTAAACATTGGTGTGTAGTATACATATGAGAAGTACTCCCTCCGTCCCATAATGCAAGACGTTTTTTGACACTACACTAGTGTTAAAAGACGTCTTACATTGTGGGACAGAGGGAGTACATTTTTACAAGGGAAAATGCACAGGCCCTGCATGAGATATCAAATAAACAAATCCGACCAAAATCCTCATATGAATCTGTTATCCAGGTAATTTCACGTCATGTTTTCTACCCTTGATGGTGTATTGATGCACTAAGATAAATAAGTTACCGATGGATTAAGTTAAAGATTGCATTGTGTGTGCTTTTATGGCGAGTTTTTACTGTAAACCGCGATTAACGTGGTTGTATCTCATGTTCTTGCAGGCTGTCCAGGAATTCTACCAGCTTACAGTGAAGAAAATTCAGGGCTCCAGTTGCATCGACAGCCCAATCGTTAAAAAGGTTCCATCTCCATCTCCGGTGTTGCTTGCTACTCGAAACCTCATCACTTTTGATGAGAAGACATTCGTGATGGTCTCAGAATCAGACCTTGAAGGGTATAATGCGGATGCCTTGGCAGTTAACGTGGGCAGTGGTTTGTGGGAAATAAGTTTAGTATACCGTGTTCAGTTTGCTAGCCAGGCAGCATTTGCAGGGTTTTCATACCTGTGGTTACAGTGCCGCGCCCACAAGGACACGGAGGCACTCACTGAGAGCATTGGTAGTGAGAGCTGCTCGCTGGAGGCGGAGCAGCCTGCGAACGGTCACCACTGTCTACTTCAAGGTGTCGTGGTTAATCCGTGAATGGCGGAGTTCCTCGGTGTCTTTTTGTCTTGCACCCGTACATATGAAGAGGGCATGCAATGTGAAGCCCCGACTCCAGTCTGCAGCAACCAAGGGGTTCAGTTGCTCGGGTCTGTATATATGTGCTGTAATAAGTTGACTGCTACGTTTACAAAGGTAAATGGATATCGTCTCAAATTGCTAACCTTACTTGCTGAATATGTATGTATGTATTATTTTCTTGCCCACTCTGTGTTAGCAATATTTCTTGAGAGTATTCTCCCTGCTTGCTACTTCTGGCCTGCACTTCAAGCAGGAAAGGGGTTAATATTCGGTAAGCCAGGTTGCATTTCATTGCTGACTTGGCCACTAATCTGGTTAATACATTGATCACATGTGCTTGCGTGCACTGTGCGTGTTTTGCTCAAAGCATTAGATTGGCGGTGTTTTGGGGCATCTGTTCTTTGTTGTTCCTAGATGCCCCAAAACTGAGGTGGTGTCAAAAAAACTGTCATTTAGGGCGTTTTGGGCCAAAAAAAAACAGCTCCAGATGCCATTTATCTGTTTGGTGCCTCAAAGAATTTGTAGTTGCCCTAAATTTTTGCAGCATTGGAAGTTGCTGCAAAAAATGAAAAGGCAGCCACGCGCAGCCAACTGCCCAGCTGAAGCTTCCCATCTCCGAGTCGTCTCCCACCTGCACGTCCGCTGCGACCTCCTCCATCAGCGGCGAATCTATCGCTGATTCTAACTGTTCTCGTCCATCCGCCAGTTGATATGATGGTTGTGACTGTCGGCCACATGTTGATTAGCGGCCGGGAGACCTCCATTTGATCGGCGCCACCATTGTTGTATTGCGGTTCTGTTCGCCATGGCGACGCAGGAGTTGGTCGCACACTCCCCCACCCCTCCCACCATCGCCACCTGATTCCAATGGTTGATAATTTTTTTTCATGCCAATTGTCCGCTCGAGTTCAATCATGCTAATGCTGCAACTTAGAGCATCAAACCGCCTCATACGTTCGCTTGACCCAGACGCCCCCTCAAACGCCTGGGCTGATCCGCACCTCCCGTATCCAGCCCAAATACGGGGCGCCTGGGCACGCCAGTCACGCCGGACCCGGCCCATGCTGGCTCACCCGATCCCACATAAGTTCCTCCCCATCCGCTCGCCAAACCGAACCCTAGCCACTTCACTCCGGAAAGCTGCGTTCGGACTCCATCTGCCGGGAATCCATTGCGTCCGCCCAAATGGGGCATGGATCCGGCGCTAGGCCGGCCATAGCTGCCTCGTCGGAGGTCGTGTGGTATGTCTGGCGTCCGAATGCACTGGCGGACGTGCAACCCCTTCGGTGGTGCGCTGAGCATCGGGACGCACCATGGGCCTTGTCCGATGAGGCCATGGCACGGGTGTTGGGGAACGTTGCATGAAAAACAAAAAAATTCTATGCATCGAGGGGGGAGAGTGTATCTACGTACCCTCGTAGACCGTAAGCAGAGGCGTTAGACAATGCAGTTGATGTAGTCGAACGTCTTCGCAATCCAACCGATCAAGTACCGAACGTACGTTACCTCCGCGTTCAACACACGTTCAGCTTGGTGACGTCCTCGCCTTCTTGATCCAGCAAGACGCGTGAAGTAGTAGATGAGTTTCGGCACCACGACGGTGTGGTGATGGTGATGGTGATGCGATTTTCGCATGGCTTCGCCTAAGCACTGCGAAAAAATGACCGAGGGAGTAAGTGATGGAGGGGGGCGCCGCACACGGCTAGGCAATTGTCTGGTTCGTGCTAGGTGCCCCTTTCCCACATATATATAGGTACGAGGGAGGGAGGAGCGGCCATAGGAGGCGCCCAAGTAGGAGGAATCCTACTTGGAGTCCCTCCCAAGCCGCCTCCCCTTGC